CTTTTTTGAACAAAGGCAATTTGCTTTTTGCTGGTGCACAATGTGCAAATCTAGGTGCTGTGGAGGAAAACAGAAACCTGCAAAGACACAAAGGCAGAAGCGGTCCAAAGTTTGGGATCAAAAGTGCAACTATGGGCAGATTAGCTAATGCTAGCGGGTAGCAGGCTCACGATCAAGTGGGTTCTGAATAAACTCAATGGTCGTGAAACTAAGAATATGTAAACTACAAGCAGAAGAAGTCGTCATCATCTTGTTAATTCTTGGCTGACTGTAGCTCTCTGGAGCATGAACCGCTGCAGTCAGGTTGTTGCTTCGAGTCCGCTCTGCTCAACACCACTGCAGGATTATTATGGCAAGTCACTGTAGCATGTAATTCACAAATGCGTCCATCTTTAAACTTAATTTAAAATGTATTATTGCTAACCTGTACATAATAGATAAGGCACTGTTACATTCTTAGCAGTAGAAATAAAATATTATTTGCACGTCCAGTAGCTATACTACTGGACGTGTTAAATAACATTTTACTGATCATAGTTTAACTGTGGATATATTTAGGTGATAGCATGTTGTTTTGTAAGCTATTGAACTGTTTTCTAATCATGTTGTGTTGGTAAATAAAGTAAAGGAAGGAGAGAAAAAATATCTCCCTAGCAGTTTAAAAATGTTTCACTTTAATCCGATTATTCGATTAATCCAGTAGAGACCCCATCTGATTCAATGATGGTCCAATTTAAGTCCACATGTCCATGACTTGACTGGTGCAATCATTTGTTGCAGCCCTAAAGTGAACATGTATTTGCAAACCTGACTAATAAATGGCAAATATCTACTGAACTTTAGGTGTCCATCCATCCAATTTTTTTCTAATTATTGTGAATTATCAATTTTTCCAAAGATTTTGAAGAATGCATTATTTAGAGAGTTGCAAAGATCAACAGTTATTTTGCTGAGAGCAAACATGGGGTTCCACTGCCACCTAGTGGCTGAAAACTATAACGGCATTCAAACAAACATCTGAGCTTCAGATGATCAAACTGTATTTTTCATTATGAATCATTGGCCTTCTGCCCACATTTAATGCACTTAAATAAAATGTCTAATAACACATCCAAAATTAGTTGAATTATTCACTTAGTAGTGCCATTGCCCAACTGCTCTGCGTTCAGACACACTGCCACGGCTCAATAAAGTTATTAATTACTTGTCCGGCATGTCAATAATCAAAGGAGAGTGAATCTAAAAAACTGGTTGACCGTTATGTGGCATGTCTGAAAACTGTTACCTCATCTTGACTGTAGACAAAAGAGATTATTATAGATTTTAAACATGGTCCTAATAACAGAGTGATGTTAGCAGATTGGACTGGAAATGGAACAGTGTGTGTTTACAAGTGGAGACAGAAAGATTTATATTTGTTTAGAAAGCTCAGGTCATAAACATTTGCAGAAAAATGCTGCATTTCAATCTGTGGTGAAAAGAGCAATTTTCTTCACAGCCATCTGTTGAGGCAGCAGGAGAAGAGTCAGCGACACAAAGAAAGTGAGCAAACTGATAAAGATGGCTGGTTTTGTTCTGGGGGACTGCTCCGAAGCCCTTCGAGCTGACTGAGGAGAGGAGGATGTGGTGCAATCTGCTCATGGTAAAAGACAGAACCCTCCCTCTGCATATTAAACCAACAGAGTTTTGAAAATGTCGTCAAGTATGAAGCAGGGGCCAGAAAACATTATTGTTAGAAAACAGTCTCCAGTACCTGATCATTTTGTTTTTATTGAAAAATACTGTACTGGAGCTGTTTCATTTCCGTTTAGGGTGTACAGTATATACTAATTTCCAGTTCAATAGCTTCACACTTCAATTAGTATTTAGTGTGAGATTAAAAAAAAAGATTTTAAATGATACAAAAGGTCTAGAGTCAGACCGTCACCAGGATTGCTTGGTTTGTTTGTTTGCTTGGTAACAAGTAGCCTCTGGCACACACTTTGCATAATATTGTTAAAAATTAGCTTATAGCTTGAAACTTAGTTGGACCTAAATAATAATAATTTAGTAATTGTAAAATTAACAGCAGTTAGAGGAAATGAGACCTGTTATGGCTGGGCAATAATTTAATTTTGAATTCTACTCATAACAACTTTATTCATTGTAGTAAACAAAATTTCCAGATAACAGTCATATCCCACCAAACAAATTTATTTCCTGCATGATTATCCAGGCTCCCATAGAAGCTCCCTCTTTGATAGCTGTGCTCTCTGACCAGGATTTTCCACATATGACTGAATCATTCTGAGTCATGCATTTTAAACTAATGTCTAAATGTAACAAATATAAAAATATTTTTGTTTTGTCCTAAAATAACCTATGTATGTATAAGTTAGTCTACACTGACTTTATTATGATGTAGGTTTACATTTACCCTGGTAAGGTTTTACAGTTTTGCCACTTCACAGTGCAAATTTGCCCCCTCTGGCAAACTGATGCCTGAAGCCCCGTAAGATTAAAGTTTTTTTCCTATAATAGGACGTACATAAGATGTACTATAAGTATTACAACTGTATTATATATATATATATATATATATATATATATATATATATATATATATTATATTATATTATATTATATTATATTATATGTATGAATCAATATGCATAGAATAAACCAGTTAAGCCAGCTAAATATAGCAAACCTAAAATCAATACAATACATTTAAATCATAATGATCATAATTATATAAGACACTGATGTGGAAACACATTTCACTGGATGAGGGAAAATGGGCTGCTGTTGAAGGCCAAAACAGCAAACGTTTAATACGTTTACTAAGTTGGTTAAATCGTTGAAGGTTCTCAGCCATCCACATTATCCAAAATTAGATTTTCAGAACTGGACTTTATCCTTGTTGATCTGAAACCTGCCTGTACTCATTCCAAATAGCTTATTTAGTCCAACTGACTGAAGAGGTCAAAAGGACTCAAGACGTGCCAGTAAGATGAGTCAATTGATTTAAATAAGTTAATTAAGGTAGTTAAAACACAAAATCTATGTTTTTTAAAACCTCTGTCTCGGGTTAATAAATGTAGCTGAAAAAATGTGAAAAAAAGAATAAATAAGTATTCTCACTATATAAGATACCAAATTATTATTAATAAATACGTAGTTGTGCTTTTAAATGATGGTTTATTTATGCAAATACAGGTGCTGGCCAGTAAATTAGAATATCATCAAAAGGTTGAAAATATTTCAGTAATTCCATTCAAAACGTGAAACTTGTACATTATATTCATGCAATGCACACAGACCAATGTATTTCCAATGTTCATTACATTTAAATTTGATATTCATAAGTGACAACTAATGAAAACTCCAAATTTGGTATCTCAAAAAATTAGAATATTCTGAAAAGGCTGAATATAGAAGACACCTGCTGCCACTCTAATCAGCTGATTTACTCAAAACACCTGCAAAGGCCTTTAAAAGGTCCCTCAGTCTTGTTTTGAAGGCACCACAATCATGGGGAAGACTTCTGACTTAACAGCTGTCCAAAAGACAATCATTGACACCTTGCACAAGGAGGGCAAGACACAAAAGGTGATTGCTAAAGAAGCTGGCTGTTCGCAGAGCTCTGTGTCCAAGCACATTAACAGACAGGCGAAGGGATGGAAAAAATGTGGTAGAAAAAAGTGTACAAGCTCTAGGGATAACCGCACCCTGCAGAGAATTGTGACGACAAACCCATTCAAAAATGTGGGGGAGATCCACAAAGAGTGGACTGCAGCTGGAGTCAGCGCTTCAAGAACCACCACGAGGAGACTCATGAAAGACATGGGATTCAGGTGTCGCATTCCGTCTGTCAAGCCACTCTTGAACAAGAAACAGCGCAAGAAGCGTCTCGCCTGGGCCAAGGACAAAAAGGACTGGACTGATGCTGAGTGGTCCAAAGTTATGTTTTCTGATGAAAGCAAGTTCTGCATTTCCTTTGGAAATCAAGGACCCAGAGTCTGGAGGAAGAGCGGAGAAGCACAGAATCCACGTTGCATGAGGTCCAGTGTAAAGTTTCCACCGTCAGTGATGGTGTGGGGTGCCATGTCATCTGCCGGTGTTGGCCCACTCTGTTTCCTGAGGTCCAGGGTCAATGCAGCCGTCTACCAGGAAGTTTTAGAGCACTTCATGCTTCCTGCTGCTGACCAACTTTATGGGGATGCAGACTTCACCTTTCAACAGGACTTGGCACCTGCACACAGTGCCAAAACCACCAGCACCTGGTTCAAGGACCATGGTATCCCTGTCCTTGATTGGCCAGCAAACTCGCCTGACCTTAACCCCATAGAAAATCTATGGGGTATTGTGAAGCGGAGGATGCAATACGCTAGACCCAACAATGCAGAGGAGCTGAAGACGACTATCAGAGCAACCTGGGCTCTCATAACACCTGAGCAGTGCCACAGACTGATCGAGTCCATGCCACGCCGCATTACTGCAGTTATTGAGGCAAAAGGAGCCCCGACTAAGTATTGAGTGCTATACATGCACATTCTTTTCATGTTCATTCTTTTCAGTTGGCCAACATTAGAGAAACAAACATTTTTTCATTGGCCTTTAGAATATTCTAATTTTCTGAGATACCAGATTTGATGTTTTCATTGGTTGTCACCTATAAATATCAAAATTAAATGTAATGAACATTGGAAATACATTGGTCTGTGTGCATTGCATGAATATAATGTACAAGTTTCACGTTTTGAATGGAATTACTGAAATATTTTCAACCTTTTGATGATATTCTAATTTACTGGCCAGCACCTGTATACCCTGCAGCTATTAAAATACAATTTGCAATCTCTTCCCAGTTCAATTGTGAAAAAATGCTAATTTAAACCTAAGATAAGGGAATATAGCAGCACTAATAATCATAATCATGCATGTAATGAATCCTCTGAAACACATCTAAATACTAAGATGTAAGCAGTCCTAGACCTATGGACTGGATTTATACTCACTATAACTGTGGGAGCAGCGGCCACCACGCAGTAGAGGATGAGGGGGGGGACGAAGCTGGACTCCTCTGTTCCAGGGTACGGCTTCATCAGCTCAGCATCATTACAGAAGAAGCCCTGCACGTGCACGCCAAACAGGTCCGTGCACTCCATGTAGTAGGCCAACAGCACCGTGCCAGACATGATGACGAGCTGAAAGAAAAACATGCCGGGACCAGATGGAAGCAGAGAACGAGAGAGAGTTGTTAGTTTTACATCCACCGACAAAGTCCTGATTTAGATTTTAGGAAGAAAATTTGTTTTTATTTTCTTTAAAAGTTGTTCTGAAGCTGGTCCTTGCTCCCTCCTCAGTAACAATGAGTCACATTTTGATCCAACAACACAAATCCTCAAAAATCACATTCCCGTCTCCCCTCTCTCACCACTGGCATGCACCACTTTCCACCTACCCCTCCTCCCTCACCCCCACATCCTTTTTATCCCACAAACATCTTCTTTTGTCTCTGGCCTCCTTTTCCTGGTTTATTTTTCCATATTCAGCTGCAGGCCTTCATTCCATTTATATAAATTTATATTGTTTATATATAGCATCTTTAGTCATCGATAATGGACCAATAGTGGAAAAGAGGATTCAGCACAGTGTGTAGGAAAGCTTCCTGGAAGGCTTCTGAGAATGAGCTGCATTTGTGTCGTTCTTTGATGTGTTAGAAGTGCCACCAATCAGGAAAGGCTGCAGGGTTTACGTCAAATGAGGAGATGAAAAGGTTATTTAAACGGAACGATTCTATTAAAGAAACAAGAAGAGGGTACTGGGTGTCTTGGGCATACAGCCAGTTCATGATAAATTCAGTGCAAGTTTAGTACATTGATGAACTGTGAATTATGGATCAGGGAATTTGCTGAACAAGACAATTGCAAACAACTAACAGTACAAATATCCGTGTATTATTTCTTTGTTTCTTGTTTCATGTGACTAAATGTGGTTTAGCCAGCTTTGCAGCACCCATGTCTAACACCAGGTGTCACTGTGTCATTGTGCAAGAAGAAAACAGGTCTGGAAGAAGAATTAAGACAGCTGACAACATCAAACTAAGATAATTAAATAAATCTAATTAAATTCATGTATTAATACTGTCTGCATTATTCAATCATACAAATACAGGCCATAAGCAAAACATTACGTCCCTTTTTCCTTTTCTATCTGCTCAGCATTTTAACTTTTTATAAAACCCAATTTCTTTAGTGTATTTTAAGTTTTGATTTGAATTCCCTGTTTGATGTGTTTGTTGTTTTTACTCACACCTGAAAAGCACACTGAATTGCCTCTGTGTAACGGGTCATATATAAAAAAGATTGCTTTGTCTTTTCTAAGTCTACTAATGATTTCCATATTGTTCTCTTTGCTCCAGAATAAACGCAGCTTTGTCACTCGTTACCGTTTTAATAATGAGTGGCTGTTTAAAACTTTTGTAAACGCAAACAAACAAAAAGTAGAAGATCTTTGGCTACCGGACACCCGCTTATTTCTAGCATAAGATGTTTTCATGCTCTCACATGCTGCCTCCAACTGTTGCTCACAATAAAGCTGTGTGATTAATTGTGCCTGTGTAACGAAACAGCCCAAAAAAGAAAGGTTATTACTAGAAGTCAATACAAGTGAAAGTGAACGATTGAAGGCAAAACACCTAACGCCAAAATGTTAAAACATCTGCCTCCACCCTTGTTTTAAAACCCACACTTACCTTACCACACATGGATTCAGTTCAAACTGTAAAATGACATTTTTATTAACTTCCCTCATACTTGGACCTCCAGGCTTCCATAGAAGTTCTTCTCTGTTTTTACAGCAATGTTATCATTCCATGTTTTTCTTCTATGTGATGTTTAGGCAGGTTTTACACAAATGTCTTACAAAATTTATCGTGAATATGACTCATCTTAAAAGGCTTGTACATTTTCATAGTAGCTCACATTAATTCTTGAATGGAAAAGTTTTTTTTTGCTGTTTTAGTACATTTTTTAACAGCATCACACACATTGATTAATGCCAGAACTTCCTTTAAAATGTGAACTCTGAGCTGAGCTTCCCAACTCAGTGAGCAATGGCACAAAACGATAATGACATCATCAACAAAGTCCAACAGAATACATTTTATTTAATGCACAGCATTTATTTTATAATGACCATCAAAACTAGCAGCAAAAAGCCAACTAAAGGTAAGTGAATTATGTGATAAGTAAAGCCAACTTTTTTTTTCTGGTGTAAAATTAGTTTACAGTTTCCTGCAAAAGAATAAAAATAAAGGAAATGGTTCATTTGAACTTTATAAGAAAACCTACTTGCATAAAAACATTGATTATCTCAATGTAATAACCTTTGAACATGAAAGACTTGTTTCTAATATCTTTACATTTTTTTTTTGTTTAAAAAAATGCTCATTGAAAAGGGACAAGGTGAAAAAGTTTGACCACTCCTGCTTTGGTCTATGATGGTGCACCTTGTGTTAAACTCTTATTAATTAACGGAGTCCATGCCCAAGAACAGACATTTTCACATCGTTCAGCTTTGCGGTACAAAAAGACCCCAGACAATGTACGCTTGTTAAATTATATAATGCAAACATGTGTTTGCCTAAATTCTTTAAATAGCCCATTTAAAAGTATCTTTCCAGAGTTTTCCCCTTTCAGAAACTATGTATGATTTTTCAGAAATCCGTAAGTACGCACCCTGCCCCGCTGAGCTCCGTGCAATAGGAAGCTGAGCGCCGACCAGAACTAACCAACAGTGTCAGACTACCGCTTACATGCTTCAAATTTAAGGAATACCTCGGCTGATGAAGAGTTGATGAACTTTTCACAGACAAGTCTTTGTAATATAAATATATGAGAGTGCAACATGACGACATGCAAATAATACTTGTTTTAGCTCTGTTTGTCGGCTGCAGAAGCACATTTATAAACAAGACATGTGAAGTCCTCATCTTAAAAAAAACAGATCAAGAGACTATTTGCGCGATATGCTCATCAGTCACTAGATGGTGTCATCGGATAAGAGAAATACTCCAGAAAAAGACTTTAACTGGTGTTCTAAATGTAACGATAAACATCATATTGCATTTTTTTAGGAAAAACTGTTTGACTTATTTTTTTCTATGCAACATTCAAAGAACATATGAGGCAAAACTTTTTTGCATCCTTTTGTGCTGCCATGTGGGCAATGGCAGCGCCAGGGGGGTGCTAGGGGGCGCTATAGCTACCCCTGGATTTGTCATTGCACCCCCATAACATCCCCAAGTAAATATTAGATTTTTTTTTTCATTTAATTTTAATTTAACGTGTGGATGTGAGGATATTTAACATACAAAACAAAAATAATCAGTAAATTATCATATATATAGTAAAAACTTAAGTCAAAACAGGAAATTGATGTCAACCTTTGACCTCATTGTCCACCTGCGAACAGTGAAAGGTAAAGCTAGTGGCAAAGTGGATCGGCTTTTATTGTATCCTGCTCAATAATGAAGCCACATCTAATGAATGCAATGAGAATTATTTTATTGTGCTCATGCTGAAAACCTGAAAGGTCTAGTTAGTCCTTTTTGAATTAATGAATGCCCGTAGCTCTGTGAATTACATAATCTCATCCAGTGAATATCCATTTTCTCAGTCTCTAAAGATTTTCATTAATTCATTCCCCACACACTTTGAGCATTCGTTTTGCTTTCTTCCTTCCCCAGCATCTCATCCTTGTATCTTGTCTCTTGTGTCCTGGCTTCCTGCAGCACTCCTAATCTTTTTTTTTAACACCTTTTCATCTCTTGGTTACAGCTGACTTGCAAATTACATCAGCTAAAGTTAATATTGATGTTAAATAACAGATGGGAAAAGTTTCATGTCTAAAAAAAGGGGAAGAAAAAACAATGAATAAACATATTTTCTGTCACACTGCCTCTTGGCGCTGAACAACATTTCCTGGCCGTCCAATCAACATGCTTTCTTGGTGTCATGTGACAGAAACGTCCTTCCGCATGGCTCCCTTTGTGACAAGCAGGATGAGCAAGAAAGAAAACACTGGAGAAAGGAACAAAAAAGCTGCACAAAAAGGAGAAGGAGGAGAACAATGACAAAGAAGATGAGGCGCTGCAGGAAAGGACAACATTTAAAGATGGAAAGAGGAGAACTTAAGAGTGAAAGTAGGTTTAGAGTAGGAAGGTGAAGCTGTAAGTCTTTGACATCAAGTGGGAAAAATAGGGACATGAAGAATGAGATGGGAAAAGGCTCCAGACATGTTTAAGAACAGTGTGTGAAGAAATGAGGGGTTATCTCAAAGCAGAGTGGTAAAAATCAAAGCAACATTGCTAATAGCTTGTGAAATGTTATGACCGTTGCAGCTGTCAACATGATAGAGTAATAGATCTTCCACACAACAGTGACCAAGCATTCCTGGCTGGTCACCGCTCCTAATAAATCAAGGTTGCAATAGAAAATGCATCAGTTCCAAATGTATCCCATTAAAGTTATGGTTCCAGCCCCCAGCCTGTTCACAGCCTTGTAAAATCCTTTAATGGCAGCAATTAATCCATTTTCATCACATCTCCAATTAGGTCTGAAGAAATCTCATGACTTTATGAACATCTCAGATATTGAGAATTGACATTTTGATGATCAAAACATGTATCAGTCACTAACTGAATATGACTAATCATGCAACTTGTCACTTTCATTAGAAGATTATGAACTAACTTTATGCTAAATGTGTCTAATTTGGCTGGTTGTGCTGCAGAGAACGTACACACACACACACACACACACACACACACACACACACACACACACACACACACACACACACACACACACACACACACACACACACACACACACACACACCTCTTGCTGAAGAGGTCTTCCAGAAGAGGTCATTGGCTGATAATTAAATGACTCAGATGCACACATTCATTCGCTGGCACACATAATTCAAATACAGGCATTTCACATTGCTTTCCCTTAACAACGATAAGGGAAGGCCTACAGCCAATTTACTAAAATTCCTCCAATGCAGCTCATTAGACTTCAATGTGATTATCTATCTATCTATCTATCTATCTATCTATATCTATCTATATCTATATATATATATATATATATATATATATATATATATATATATATATATATATATGAACAAAACTCCAGTTTGCATTCAAGCATTCCAGTTTGTATTCATTTATTAATGTTGGCCAAGACACAGGCCAAACAGCAAAGAACGTGTGAACACAAACTAGGCAAATCAGACAGACGGGTGAAACATATTAAAAGAAAACAAGGGGAAAAGTAGAGGAGCACATGACTGAAAGAAACGTATCGTTGAATTCAATTTAACTGGTGCAGTAGCTTCATTTCCATGGCAGCAACACTGATGCAAACGCATCTGAAACAGGAAGCTGCATTGGTTTTTATTTAGGTGTTAATGGGAAAAGTTAATGTGTGGCATCGACACATTTTAATGCAGTTTGTTCTGTATTAGTTATCTCAAGGCTTTATGGATAACTGTTATAGCAAAGTTCAGTTATTTTTACTAACAGTGTAAAAGTTATAAAGTAATTTCAGAGTGTTTATAATAGGGTGAATTAATAATAAACAACTTTTAACTAATGTTCAGTTAGTTTCTAATAAATTTGTTTCACAGGTCATTAATTTCATTTGCTGTGAGAAGTTATACTGAAGCAGAGGCTCTGGGTTACAGGCACAGGTAGACAACAATGATAAATGACCTGCACTTAGCACCTTTATGAGACAGAGGACGTTACACTACAGTGACTCATTCATCCACGCACACACACACAGATAATGATGAGCTACAATGTAACCACAGCTACCCTGGGGCTCACTGATAGGCGAGGCTGCTGCACTGAATCCACCAGTCCCTCCGACCACCAGCAGGCAAGCCCAAGGACACGACTGACAGAGACAGAGCCTGAGTTCTAACCAACAACCTGGCAACCCACCAGTTACAGTGCAAGCTCTTAACCCCTGAGCCACTGTCGCCTTAAGCAGCCCTAATAACCTGAGCAGGTTAGATAAAACCTGCACTGGAGCAAAGCCCAGGAGGAGGACCCACGGGAAGCAGATGTTCACTGAGATAATATTTGACTGATTGGAGTAAAAAAAAAAAAAAAAAAAAAAAAAAAAACTGATAAAAGTTGCCAGCCTAATGAAAAGCCTAGATTGGACTGCTCATTTATCCAGAGTGGCACAGCGTTGCTGAAGCCGTCAATGCTGAGAAATCAGAGAGATCTGTGGAAGATATAAAAAAAATGGTCCGATAAGGATTAGATCCCCAGACTCCCGGGTGAAAGCCGCACATGTTAACCAGTCAGCCAAATGGAGATCTTCCTCATCCAAGTAGCCAGGCCGCATCATCAATCGGGTCACAGTGACAGGACACACACTGTCACAGACGCATGACATTCTGTCTCTATCTGTCCTGCATAGGAGCTCTGTTGTTTTGGCGGGGAATTTCTTCAAAACTTAGGCCAGTGAGTTAGGAATGCGCCTCCTGCTGTCCTGGTGGAGAATGTCTTTGCAACAGGTCGGGCCAGTATGAATACAGATGAGATTCGACGCTGCAGCAGCGCGGGGTGGGGTGATGCGCCTTTGCTTAAGCATGAATCAGGCTTAAGACTCATCAGTCTAACACACACACACACACACACACACACACACACACACCATCTCACCTCCACAAGGATGAAACACGGAATGATGGAGTAGCTGCGCAAGGTGTTGTTGGTCGCCATCTTGGCTCCTGTTGGGAGACGTGTGCTCTCAGGATTCACAGCAGCTCACTCTGCAACAGAAACATCAAGCGTTACCGCTCATCTTCTCAATAAAACCAAATAACTGACCTTACAATTTCTGCGCAATCAAACTTTGTTCTTTTCAGTTAAAATGACAGCAAAACATTTTTGGTATTGAGCAAAAGATTAAAGCTAGATACAGTAAGTTTTAAGTTTCAAGGAGTTCATCAGGTTTAAACCGTTTAATGCCACCAAACAAAAACAAAATCTAATGCAAAAGATCAGTTTTTTTTCCCCCGTCCAAAAACTGAAGTCACTTACATTGTAAAAAAATAAAATGTTCACTTCCAGGATCCAAAGCTGTAATGAGGTGAGGCTTATGAGCTAAATGTATGTTTATATAGGAAAACATGGAATTAATGAAGAAGTATGCAAGTGTGACCAAACAAGAGCCAACTCCAGCATTATAACTTACAATTACTCTCATCCTCTTTATCATTTTATTGTTCATATTTCGCATAGTCTTCACTTACGAAAAAATCTTATCAAAACGTTTGTAGATGAAAATGAAATCCAATGTATTACCATAAAGAAAACTACAAAATGTATGCAAAAAAACAACAAACTCTCTATATTTTTAATTATTATTCATAGTATTATTAAGCTGTGTTATTTCATTTTGTGCAAAAAAATAAATAAATAAAACGACATCGACATTTTCATTTATAATTTAAATCCAAGATTACTGATTTCACAAAATTTGAATGAGTCTCAATTACAGCAGGAAGCTTTCAAATGTGCTCAAGTAATGTCAAATGTCAGAAGACATAGTGAGTTTTGATTTATCGATGTTAATCAAAGCTTATAACCCCCCTGCAGACATTATATTATAATGAATGTGTTGTGGAGCCATAACGGTCTTTAAATTCTCATTAGAGATTATAGTTCATCATTTGAGCTTCTCTATTTTAACCGTGCAATCCTGAATAATGAAAGCAGAGAAACAATAAAAGTGCCTCATCAGCCTCATCTGAACCTCTTTGTCTGAGATGTGCAGCATAAATGATTCTATTGAGATGAATAAACTAGTGCAGGTCATCTAAACGCTTGGTTTTAGAAAGAGAGATGTGGTGCTTGAATGTTAAACTAAAGATACTCAAGTATAACAGAACCTTAGGTTAAAGCATTTCACTAAAAGTCTCAGCGATCACTGGTTTCCTCATTAACCTTTAGGTATTTACAGCTTTCAAAATAGATGAAACTTTTTACTTTAAATGTCACTCTATAAACAGAAAAGTTTCATTAAAGGTAAAAAAAATAAATAATGCATCTCATAAGTCAATCAGCAGTGAAGACTGCCATCCAGCTTCAACATACAGCAGCTGATTTAATGTTCCTTAATGTCGCTGCAATTAAAGCTCAGTTTTCTTCACCTTGTGATAAATTATCCACATTCTTTGAATATCTTCATGGGGAAACCACACTGAACATTCTTAGCTGAAGGTAAATGTTCCAGTAAGCCTTCATTCTAATTAGCCTTGCAAACTGCTGTGTACCTGCTGCACACCACTCCCTCTGAGAAAAACAAACAGGATGAAAAATGATCCCTAAAAACGTTCTAAATAAAAAGGTCCAACTGTTAAAAGTCATCTAGAAAGGTCAAATTGTCCTTTCTTCAGCCCCGATCCTTGCTCTTGATGCGGCTTCACTTCACTGCAGGCCGATCATCCAGTACTTTTGGAGCCCATGTTCTCCACTGATCGAGGAGTCAAATAACGAAGTACAAATACTTTGTTACCTTACTTAAGTAGAAATTTTGGTTATTTATACTTTACTGGTTATTATTTTTCAGCCTACTTTATACTTCTACTACCTTACAGTATGCAGAGGACCTTCAGGTATATCTTCCACTCGTCCCTATCTGTTTCCTCCTTAATGAACTGTTTAACAGATGTGAAGCAGTGGATGACTATTCATTTCATGAAATTAAACAATCTAAAAACAG